TTGTATTTCTTTTTCTTTGTATTTATTTCTTTGACTACAGCTTGACGAACCTTTTTTGCAGTTTCACATTGCTCACTAAAAGTGTTGAAAGTGATGATCTCACATGATGCTGCTTTCGGACTTTCAGAAAAGTCAAGATGTTGTAAAAAGCGCCACGTACAGTTGTACGGCCGAAGATGCGCGAGAATTGGGGCGATGTGGTGGGTCGGTTATGTGATCACCTATTTCTTCAGGACATAGGGACCTTCCTAATTTGCGGACCAACACAATTCGCATCGAAGATATGCCCCGGCGATCTAGCATGGCCTTCCCTTTGCGCAGTTGGCGGGGAACGCCCACCGACTATCTAATCACTCGCCGCAGGTCTATACGTGGCGAGTGATTAGATAGCAGAGAGAGCGTAGTGTTGAAGAGGGCACAGCGATGAGAGTCGCATCAATGCGCAAATCAAGGGCCCCATTTCTCGGGTTTCGGGCCGTTTCAATGGTTTCTTCTTCATCCCTGCTCCACTGACCACCTCTACCTTATTTCCAATGAGCTAACTTTTCATCGTGAATTCTGCCTTTGAGTCGCTAACGCTTAACAATGAAGTGAGCAATAATTGCTCCCCATCCCACCCCAGTGGTTGTTGTGAACTTGAGTGTGAGGAATCCGGATTACCCTTGATTGATAGTCGTGAGCAGTTCGCTGTAGGTGTTCGCTACGAACAAAGTCTCCTGCCACTCACTTCAGTTGTGGTTTAAAATGTTCAAAGCTTACTAATGGGGCTGAGTACAACAAATTAGATCGTTTCGTCAAATCCTAACGACAATGCATTTGAGTTACGAAGAGGGTTACCATAGTGCATGCAGAGATCATCTGCAGGAAATCTGTCAGGCCGATGTCATAGTTTGCGAATCGAGCGTTGCGCCAGCGAATCGAACGTTGCACCAGCGAATCGAACTTTGCACCAGCGAGTCGAACTAGTACCCACTGTCAAGTCCCGCCACTTTCAAAAAGGGTCCACTGTCACGTGACACTGTTTGAAAGTGGCGGGCTTCCTTTGAACGTTGGGTCCCGCCACTATTGAGTCGCTGGTACCTAGTTCGACTCGCTGGTACATCGTTCGACTCGCTGGTGCAACGTTCGATTCGCTGGTGCAACGTTCGATTCGCAAACTATGACGTTGGCCCCAAGCATCTTATGCGAACGAGGAATTTACATTGCTATTTATTTAATATGTGGAAATGATCGCTCTAACTCACGACTGGAACTTGAGCAGGTGCTGTTGGCATACGAGTAGTCGACACGTGCGTAACGGCGTGCTGTTGCACAACAGCATCCACCTGGAACCCTTCAGTAAATGTATCACACTTCATTTATTAGGAGAACTGGTGGGAAAAAAGCAACGGCAGACTGCTCGGATTGGTCAAAGTCTGCCGATAATGAATACCAACTTCCGCTCCTCCCCCATCGCCCTTACCCATGATATCGATGGCTATACCGAAGGCGCATCCGAGATTGATGTACAGCTCAACCTGAATGCTCGTACACATCATAGACACACATAGCGGCACAGAGACATGAGAGGATGGCATACTGATCTGTTCGCTAGACTGTAAACTATTATATATGTACTGTGTACGCAATGGTGCTACACCTTCGCAGTACTCGGAGAACTCCAAGTGTTCAAAAATCGCTTACGGTGTGGTCGTCATGCTGATGTTGATGATGAGCCATGCCTACATGTTGATGATGCATGTCGTGCTCAGTGCTGTGCTGATGTGCCTCGTGGTGCATGTCGACGTTACTATACTGCAGCATCGGGACCACATAGTGACTACCGTGGACCATCGCAGGGCTGTGATGATGGTGTTGGCCTTGTTGAACGTGCATTAAGTGGCTGCAACAGCAGCAGGGAACAACAGCCTCATGATGATAGTATGGAAGTTGCATCGGTGAAGTGTGAGACTGAGTGCTTATGTGCATCTCACGCTTAGCTGGCTGAAAACATCAAAATTTGAATCATACTGGAAGTTAGAAGAGCATCATCTCGCTTACATGTGAAGGGTTTGTTTCTAACAAAACCACTTTCGCACAAGTGAGCCACTGCGATGATCAAGTGTTGTGCATGAAAATGAAAGTAGTCAAGGCGCGCAGGGTCTTTCGATTCCCCAGGTTTTGCTTTGCAGCGTGGGTTAACGTCGAGGCTTTGTAGGAGAGGGGGTTTTGGGATGGGCACACTTTAGACGGAGTAAGGAATAGTTTTAGGTAGGAATGAGAGGGTGTCACTAGGACGTGAACACCGATGTACGTGAATCGAATGAAGTTCGAAGATAGAGTAATTCACGTGGTTGAGAGACAGGTGGACCTTCCTAGTTTGGGGACCAACATGAATTCGCCCCGACTAACTAACATGACCTTCCCTTCAGCGCAGTTGGTGGGGAACGCCCTATGGCTCGCCGCAGGTCTATACGTGGCGAGTGATTAGATAGCAGAGAGAGCGTAGTGTTGAAGAGGGCACAACGATGAGAGTCGCATCAATGCAGAAATCGACGAGACCCCATTTTTCAGCTTTTGGGCCGTTTCGCATGGTTTCTTCTTCATCCCTTCTCCACTGACCACCTCTCCTTATTACCGAGGAGCTAACTTTTCATTGTGAATTCTGCCTTTGAGTCGCTAACGATTAACAATGAAGTGAGCAATAATTGCTCCCCATCCCACCCAGTGGTTGTTGTGAACTTGAGTGTGAGGAATCCGGATTACCCCTTGATTGATAGTCGTGAGCAGTTCGCTGTAGGTGTTCGCTACGAACAAAGTCTCCTGCCACTCACTTCAGTTGTGGTTTAAAATGTTCAAAGCTTACTAATGGGGCTGAGTACAACAATTAGATCGTTTCGTCAAATCCTAACGACAATGCATTTGAGTTACGAAGAGGGTTACCATAGTGCATGCAGAGATCATCTGCAGGAAATCTGTCAGGCCGATGTCATAGTTCGCGAATCGAGCGTTGCGCCAGCGAATCGAACGTTGCCCCAGCGAATCAAATTTTGCACCAGCGAGCCGAACTAAGTACCCGCTGTCAAGCCCCGCCACTTTCAAAAAGGGTCCACTGTCACGTGACAGCGCTGTCGAGAAGGTGCTGCTTTCCCCTCCGAACGAATGGTCCCGTCACCTGTTGCGTCCGCTGGTTACATTTATTCGACTCGCTGTACATTGTTCAACTCGCTGGTGCATGCGTTCGATTTCGCTGGTGCATAAGTTCGATCGCTGCTGCAAAACGTTCGCATTCGCAGACTTTGCCCCAAGACTCTTACTGCGAACGGAGGATTTACATTGCTATTTATTTAATATGTGGAAATGATCGCTCTAACTCACGACTGGAAACTTGAGCAGGTGCTGTTGGCATACGAGTAGTCGACACGTGCGTAACGGCGTGCTGTTGCACAACAGCATCCACCTGGAACCCTTCAGTAAATGTATCACACTTCATTTATTAGGAGAATTGGTGGGAAAAAAGCAACGGCAGACTGCTCGGATTGGTCAAAGTCTGCCGATAATGAATACCAACTTCCGCTCCTCCCCCATCGCCCTTACCCATGATATCGATGGCTATACCGAAGGCGCATCCGAGATTGAAAGCAATCTCGAATATGAAACCTTCCCATTGTGAAATCATCACTCGTGGCAATTCCGACATCTTCTTAGTGGTGCCTCCAATTGTGCCCTATTTAATTTTGTCAACATTGCTTACATATTGGGGCTATTGGTACTCTGCATACTCTTGCAATCTTTACAAACGATTCTCACCTTTGGATAGCTACGTACGTCGGTCTTCACGACAGTTTGCCTGAAGAAACATTCTCTTAGACATCCATTCTACTCTGTCTGAACAGAATACTTACTTCTGGGTTTGTTGAACTTGATGCTGAGCAGCAGCGACGTTAGTTCTTGGCAGCGCTTGTATGGAAGAGGTCATCTTGTGCTCCTGTACATTGGGGAGAACGGGGCTCTTCGGTGACAAAGGTGAGGTAATGACCTCGTTCTGCTTCAGATCAAAATCCTGAAGTACTCCCGACATGTATGTGTGCCATTTCGGAAAAAATGGATAGCAGACTTTGGTTAAAAAAATACTACTAGTTTTTCAGAAGCCTTTCATATGAGAGCATGATAACTAATTCTGAACGATGTCATCTAGAAGACGACTCCTGCAAAGTTCCCGAATGCGTCCAAGGAAACGCTAGGACTAGAATGCGCGTTTTTGCGGTTCAACGCAGACAACGGATTAACGTGAATGCCCACATCTTTCCAGAGCTTTGAAATGCAGTGGCATTTACTGGATAATAAATCTCGTCAGCTCACCTTACGTCCATACACGTTGACAAAATCGCGAACATTTCTCACGACTCTGATCGAGTTGAACTGGTCCGAGTTTGATTGACGAGTCATACGAGCAACAGTCACAGGAGCAGCTGCTGGAGTTACCTTAGCTGGAAGAAATCGGTTTGACAAGGAGCTGTGACAGGATGACTTCGTCTGATCATATTAAGCGATTACGTGATGTTGCCGGTGCGCTGTGAAGCTGAACAGGTGAAGGCGTGTAGTGATGAGCAGATGCTGCCTTGTGAGCAGCAGGAGTAGCCCCTGCGGTCTTGATCTGGGGCTGGTACGAGTGCTTCGAGACGACCTCGGATCTCGTGTCCACAATGCCTCCTCCGACATTTGCCTATAAAAGTCACTATTTAGTGAAGCAGTTCGTAATGTGCCAAAGCTTATTTTTAGTAATTTTGATTCCGTCCTCCCATTGTGTTCAAGCACGAAGCAATCGCTGGCAGAGAGAAAGCAATCATCAATTATGCTTCTGCAGTTGTGATGGAAACATTCTACATAAGAGTACCAATTCAGGCAATACTACCGAGAACCACGATTGTTAGGTTCACGTTCAGTACTCCGAGAGAAAGCAGCCCACTCACCGTGCGTACCACGTCATCAATACGATGAATTGACGAAGTTCGCTTGTGGGTTTTGTGCTCTTCAACGTGATCGGGTTTGCGTAGTCTGACGGCACCTCCAAAAACGTTAGTGAGCTCGGAGACAGTCAATTGATTGACGTCCTCCGACTCCACGCTATACTCTGACGGCTCGTAGACATAGTCAGATTGTTTGTGTTGACTGATGACTTGGTGGTGGATCTTCTGGTCATGGTCATGCTGTCGATCATGGTCGTCATGGTGATAATGCTGCATATGTAGATGAACATCATCACGATACTCAGGACGATAGCGTTCATCGTGAAGTTCATGGTGATGGTCTCCATGACGCTCGCGACGACGATGATCATCATGAAATTCATGGTGATGGTCGACGTGGTGCTCGTGGCGATGGCGATCATCATGACCGTCAAGACGACGCTCCACATGGTGCTCGTGACGATGACGACCATCATGACCCTCAAGACGACGCTCCACATGGTGCTCGTGACGATGACGACCATCATGACCCTCAAGACGACGCTCCACATGGTGCTCGTGACGATGACGATCATCATGGCCTTCATGACGACGGCTGTCAATATGCTGATGAAGATGGCGATCATCATAAAGTTTTTGGCTACGCTCATCACGATGTTCATGACTATGGTGATCATCGCGATACTCATGACGATGACCGTCTTCACGACTTTGATGACGTTGATATTCATCATGGTCAGGCTCCTCATGACTTATCTTTTCATGTGTATGTTTCGCATGGGCCTGAGTCTTTTCAGTGATGTGCCCGATGTGGTGTTCAGCACGACACTCGGGGCACATCTCGGGGTCGTGCCGATGCACCTCCCCGTGTTCCTGATGTTGACGAAGGTTGACAGCAGTCTTAGAAAGATCGCGGGGCTGGCGATAACGTAACTCGTGAAATTGATGATAATGAGTTTCCTTGAGTGGCACTGGTGGAATAACCTCAGCTTCGTAGTTAGCCTTAAATGACAGTGATCATTTCAAAGTGATGAGTTTCCAAAGACCATAGCAGATGGCATGCGACTTACGTTATCATCGAGACTTTCAAAAATGTTGAATCTCCTTGTGTGGCTTCTCATGGACTTCATCGTTGAACTGCCCCCTCTCGAGTTTTTGTAGGAGCTGTTTCACGGCTGAACATTGTAAAGAATTATCTTTAGTAATTAAGCCCCACTCAAAAGGGCGGAATGACCTTTCCCTGATCCTTTTGCGCGAAATATGTTTACCCTCAGAGCAATAGTCCCTGCGGGATCCATACCTTTGCTACACATGGGGTGAAAAATGTGCGTGAGCCCTAACCTAGAACTAGAAGTGTCGCTGGACAAAAAACTCACCTTAGAAAGCCGCTAGAAGAGACTTGGATATGAGCAAATATAATACAAATAAACGGCGGGAATTTCGTCGCTCAACACTTAAAGGAATCCACGGAAAAAGCTCCGCCCTCATTACCACAGAAAACGATACCTTAAAGGAATCTTCCACGGAAAGAGTGATCATTTTGTCTTGTGTGTAGGATTAGTATTATCGAAACTAACGCTTATGTTCCGTTCTTTTTGCTATGCTCATGAGGCTAGGGGCCTAAGGGGTATCGTTTTTCTAGGGTAATGGAGGCGGAGCTTTTTCCGCGGCGATCTCCTTTGCTAACCGCTAGGGCCAGATGGGATGTAGGGCAGTATGGCTGTGTCAAACCGCTGGAAGCATGCTCTTCGCCGCGAAACGTGCGCTGTCCCGCACCCTCAGGAAGGTCGTATGTCTTTCGACTAGGTATATTTCCTCTTCTTCGGCTTCCGAGTTAATTGTGGAATCTTCCTTTAACCCATTGCGGACCGCCGTTATAATTGCACCTCCGTAGGTTTTTGTCATCTCTTTTATCAGTGGCCAATAATCTATCGAAAATTTAACCAGTACGCAAGTATTGATATATCCTGTGTCTGAAAAAGTAAACTGCTGATTTTGTAACTTAGCAAAATGCTGAAAAAATCGAAGATTACTATCCTTCTCCGCGTGGTGGCGTGCTGCACATGGTGCAGCGATTACGATATTTCGAGAAAAGGTTAGAAGAGACGTGGTGGTGCTCAATGGTACGCCAGTGGCGAAAAAAGCGGAGAAATCCGTCAAGAAAACGCAAAACGGGACCCCCTTTTTTGGCCGTTGGTTTTCACTCATGAACAGGTAACAGCTCAGAAAGCGGACGTATGAACGAGTTCACGCAACGCGTTTGGTGGCACCATGCCAAACCACGCTCCAATCGAGATGCTCCAGTTGTGCCGCTGCTGGCAACGCAGCTCGTCCAAATCACCAAGTAAACTAGTGGGCGGATCGCTTTTGGGGGCGGAGTGCTTTCGAAGTCCTGCTCAGCAACCAGCGCACCTTTCGTCGTGAAAGCGCTACACTCGCTTCCTGGCAGCCAAGTAACTGATTCGTGTGGTGCATATGCTTCCCCGATGCGCTCCCTCTTTATCGTAATCGCTGCCTTTAGTATGACCTTTAATATGAGCATATCACACTATTTCGTAAACTTCACCTCCTGTGTTGGTTGGAATGTCTATATTTGGGCGCTGTTGGCTGTTACGAACCAAAGTCGAGTGTCCGGATGAATGCATTTGGGTTCGGATTTCGACTTGTTCATTGGTGCCGCGGCGACGAGGTGTGTCGACTAGAATAGGAGCGTCACGATGATGATGCTGATCCTTGTCATATACCGAACGCGAGTAATACGAGTAGTTATCCTTGTGGTCATTTGCGTGCTAAAAAATTAATAAATACAATTTGATTTCACATGGAAGTTTATAAGACCAGCGTGTTAGGAACCGACGCCCGTTGAGCACTCCAGTTTTCACTTATGTGTGTGACTCACAGAACTGGGAGTGTATTCGTAGAAGTGGGCGGAGTTATCCGTGAGCGCTGTTCCTTGCATGATCTCACGAATCATCGGTTCTACCACGTGCGTCATTAGTTCCTTGCTTACATCATCACGGCCATGCGCCTCAACAGGAATTGCATATGGGTCGTAAAGTTTATTCGTAGTGGTAGTCGTTGTGGTAATACGTTGCTCGTGAGATGATCCGCGGTGCTCCGGACGGTGCTTAGCCTAAAAACCAGTTGATGTGACACTTCTCATAGTCTTTATTATTGTCGGAGCATAATTCCCTTTTCAAGAGTCGTTAGGCAAGTTGGCAAGTCCTTAGGTTTTTAAAAACGCACGGATACCCCGTAGAAAGCTTACGGCGCGCAAGGAGTTGGATAGACAGATGAGTCGCTGGGTGAGTTGTGTGTGCTACGGTTTCTTCAGTCAACCCTGTCTTTCCTTCTACAGTCTACTTGTGCTGGCGCAAGGGTGGATGGAAAAATATGTGCTGTGATCTATGTGCGTCTACGGCCCCTCACTGCACAGTAAGACTCCTATCAGGTAACTTAACTAGTCTGGGTATGTCGCAAAGTGAGCGAGATCACATTGGAGCTTTAAACCACTGCCTGAGCTAGGCTCTTTTTAGGCCTGCAGCGTTCAGCGAGCTGGAAGATCGAAAATTTGATTTATCGCTCCCATTGAGTTCGTTTACTAGGCATTCCTTAGAAAAAACAGTGAATCGAGCCTCACTTACACATTTTTCAAGTATTTCTTTATTATTTGAATTTGTGGATTTCCAATTTTCGGCGTATTACACCAATCGAAACGAGCTACTCTAGAACCTCTCCAAATTCTAAATTATCTCAATCTCCCTGTGCCATTTCAAACCGTCGCCCCAGTAGCAAGAAGCTTAAATTGAATGGCTCGTTCGAGGTCCCATCTTGAGTTTTTGTCGAGCAGAGTTTTAAAGCGCGAGATCTGCCTGTGATTGTAAGACGTCCACCGTCTCTACCAAAAAATGGACCGAAAGCCGCAATCGAGAATTAAATTCGATGGGAGGCATTTGTAATGGGTTAGTACCTCGTATTCGATCTCCTTGACAAGTGTTTTGGAATCATGACGGTGGTGAGATTTGTCTTCCTTCTCATGAACGTACTCCACATTATCGAAGGTGAACTGCTCATCATCACTCTGAATAATTGAGAAGATGTAAACAGTGTATCGCTTTTGCTAATTTTTCACATTACTTATCAAAAATTTTTATAATTTTGCAAAGTGCAGAATAGCAGTGCATGGATGGAAGATCTTGGCTAGTAGAACTTACCACGGAAGGTCTTTCAGGGCGTGCCAAGCTTTTTGAAAACGGTCTTTTGCATGATATAGGGGCACATGCGGGAACCACAGAACCATGGTTAATTTTTCCTGAACGGCCCTCTGAATACCAGAAAAGGGGTCCCTAGTTCGATTCCTCGTGGTGACAAATTTTTGCATTTCGAGTTGACGTTCCAAAATTCGCGCAAAATGGAGTTCTGATTGTTCTGGTTGGTTCTAACTCCATTTTGCGCGAATTTTGGAACGTCAACTCGAAATGCAAAAATTTGTCACCACGAGGAATCGAACTAGGGACCCCTTTTCTGGTATTCAGAGGGCCGTTCAGGAAAAATTAACCATGGTTCTGTGGTTCCCGCATGTGCCCCTATATCATGCAAAAGACCGTTTTCAAAAAGCTTGGCACGCCCTGAAAGACCTTCCTGGTTAGATAAATCTTATTTCAAGTTTGCATAGAGTCTCAGAACGTGACAGAACTGGGCGAGTCACAACTTTCTACCCCGCTACTCTACTCTTGTCTTTCCGAAAGATCAACCATAAAAGGTATTTTCGTGTTGGCCGCACCTCCCAGCGCACGAAGGGATGTAGCGGACATGCCCTCCACCAAGCTATGGGCAGATTCTACCTGCTAGTCAGCAAAAAGCCATCATCAACACATTGGCGACAGTGTGGCGCGCAAACGCGCTTCACTTTTCGACCGGGTGGGACGTTGTGGCGCGGCTGTGCATCGCACCCACGTCCTTCCCTTTCTTGCACCCGCGCGACCTCCTGCCATGTTGTTTAGATTTTTTCCATGGATTATACCATAACAGAAGAAGAAATGAGGTGGCTCACAGAATGGTGTATGCTTAGCTTAGCAGAGCTTTCCCAAACAGTCAGGGACCCCTCATCGTTTTCTTTACACCCACGACATTAAAGTAAAGGTGAAAAAGACCAGTAAATGTACATACAAGACTACATGCATTTGAGTTTTTTATGCAACACCCCTGACAAAAATGAAGCAGGTGAAGTTCACTGCATCTGAAGTTGGTAAATTCAGCTTCCACGTTATACGCTTCATCGGAATTCTACTGCGAAACCACCAAACTACTTTTGCCTACCTTGAACGCTGCTGAAGCTATCATGCGACATTCATGCTCTTGTGCATGTAATACATAAAATCTATGGATATAAGGTGAAGCCGGCTTGGTCGCAAAATGATTCCCATCTTACATAGCCAAAAACGTGAAAGGCGTGCGGCTGTCAATGTATAACAAGGCATTTTTCAAGACTGTAGGACTAGATGCCAATTATTTTCCCTCTTCCAAAAAAAATTCAAATATGGTTCCAAAATGGTTTGCTGTTTTTGAAGAATTTCCGAAGTGATCTAATATACATATTAGGGTGTTTCATTATTAAAGGAATCTTCCACGGAAAAAGCTCCGCCCTCATTACCACAGAAAACGATACCTTAAAGGAATCTTCCACGGAAAGAGTGATCATTTTGTCTTGTGTGTAGGATTAGTATTATCGAAACTAACGCTTATGTTCCGTTCTTTTTGCTATGCTCATGAGGCTAGGGGCCTAAGGGGTATCGTTTTTCTGTGGTAATGGAGGCGGAGCTTTTTCCGCGGAAGATTCCTTTAAGCTCTTACAGATTCACATTCACACAGCTCCCTGGCGATATTTGTGCAGTCGTGCGATGAAGCAAGCTAAGACGCAAAGTATCACGTTCCCCCAATTTTTTGATTTTGTGCTTAGTTTTCTTCAATAATTGATTTCTTCTAGAATTCCCAAGGGCCCCAACATATATTTTGCAAGTCCAAGCAAATAAAGAAACACCTTCTCAGGGTGATTGAAACTGTGCTACCAATTCAGAGAGAACGATGCATTCAGGCACCACAACCATTGTTTTTGATCGCTCAGATAAGGACTGAATCCTCGGAGACCAAGAACGTCAACGGCGAGCTCATCCTGATCAACAACATGCCTCAGCAATCCACCAAGTCTGCCTGCGAAACGATTTGTGAACTCAAGGAGAACTCAGGTGAACTACTTCTATAGCCACCTCTACTCAATATGAACATGAGAGGTGTAGCAGCCTGTCGACACCTCAAAGTGGGCAACAGTTACATATGCAAAGCAACTCCTCTACCTTTCCTGGACTACCTTGTTTGATATGTGGATAAAAACGTGGAATGAATTCGCCTTCTTCGACAAAAGCCGAAAAGCGGAAGCTACGCCAAAGCCTGACATTCATGATCTGTCTACAAGTTCTATTTCCAGTAAAGCATTGAGAAAGAAGCGCATTTCCAAGCACTGGGTCAGCCCCCCAGAATGCAAATAATTGACGCTATGACGAGACCACTAAAATATAATTTTTCCTATCCCATGAAAACTTGACATTTACAAAAATTAGGAAAATACTTCATGGTGGTGATTGTGCGACTCTCTCCGACGATCCTCGCCATAATGATGGTGCTGAAGTGACTCTCGATGGTGATCCATGTCATGATGGTGACGTTCTTCATGATGACGCTGATGAGCCTTATCTTGGCCTATTTCTGATTCAATCATTCTCAGAAGTGGCTCAAAACCCAGTTCCTGGTACTCAAGTTTTTCAACCTCGCCGGAGTGATTCTGAAATTCACACCTTTATTTTCCTTGTTTTCATTGCTTATCGATTCTCACTTCCTTTAGAAGGCAGTGATTACGATATTTTCAAGAAGGGTTTATAGAGACTGGTGGTGCTCAATGGTACGCCAGTAGCGAAAAAAGCGGAGAAATCCGTCAAGAAACGCAAAACGGGACCCCTTTTTTTGGCCGTTGGTTTTCACTCATGAACAGGTAACAGCTCAGAAAGCGGACGTATGAACGAGTTCACGCAACGCGTTTGGTGGCACATGCCAAACCACGCTCCAATCGAGTTGCTCCAGTTGTGCCGCTGCTGGCAACGCAGCTCGTCCAAATCACCAACTAAACTAGTGGGCGGATCGCTTTTGGGGGCGGAGTGCTTTCGAAGTCCTGCTCAGCAACCAGCGCACCTTTCGTCGTGAAAGCGCCACACCTCGCTTCCTTGGCAGCCAAGTAACTGATTCGTGTGGTGCATATGCTTCCCGATGCGCTCCCTCTTTATCGTAATCGCTGCCTTTAAGCCTACACAACTACCATTTTATCTGAATTTCCCAAAGATTAGCGTTTCTACTGCAACAAAAAGTGATGCAGTGAGCCGTTAGAAAGCGGAGGAAATTCAGGAATTCTCTCATGCATGATCAAGCAGTCGGGAACTTCCAAATACAACCCCACCTAAAATCCTCACACAATCCACAATCCACAACCTCCAGAAATCTTCGAAAAATCTCAAAAAAAAGTTACCGAGTCTTCAAGCCACGCTTTCGTGATCACTTTCTTAGACCCTAACAGGAAATCGCGATACATGCCTAATCTTGCCACGCCCTCCTTCCCCCACTTCCTCCTTCCCCATAGAATTAAATGCTCTATGTGCTGATGAAAACAGATTTTCAAAAATTTTCAAGAGCCTCAAAGAATTTCTTCACAAGAGCGTGGAGCTACAGGTCCTTCTAAAACCACTACATATTGATGATCTCATTTGCCCTGAACCACAACTCCTCATCGCAATTGTGGACTCAACACAACTCTGGACATGCAAGTGAAGAGATTGCCGCGGATGCGACGGTTGCTCCTAGGCGTCCCAGATGCTAATGCGCAATGCGCCCATGGCGTCACTGGCTCTGCCCCACGATTGGTGCTCGCCTACTATAACCGCAGAAAGCGATAGGGAGTGAATGTTGGCTGTGCTATGGTTGGGAATGGTTGGACACCCTGAGTTCTGACCCGGGAGCTGCGGGAGGCAGTAGGGACCCGTTAGGAACCCCATGGTCCCCGAGGGGTTGGTCCGCCTCTCCTGCGGGTGCGCAGGAGAGGTGTTGTGGACCCGATGGAAAGTCCTCGGACCGAAAGGTTTTAGGCGTCAGCAGTTACTGTGCAGTGGGTGCGCCCATGCAGATCGAATGGGTCCAACCACCATTTGCGTTAGGAGTACGAAAAAATTTCCAAGTATTGCGGGTCCCATTACGTCACAAACATTTCTGTCCATGGGACAACCACTTATCTTGAAACCTAGAATCTCCATGCCTAACTACTGCCACACACTATTGAGCTGATGGCAGTTTAGAAAAAACGTCCCAAAGGGCGAAACGCGACAATCGACACAGTACTGCTCAGCGCATTTAAAAAAGTGCTCCTTTCGGATCTTTAAATAATTTTTGGTTATCATCGTATTTGGCACAAGCAGAAAGCACAAACCGAAAGAGCGACGTCTGAATCGAATTCGTAGTGAGTGACTTTAACAGGTGGTACGTCCGCAGGATGATCGTCGTGTGAGTGCGATTGTTCTTCCTGTTGTTGTATGGAAGATGCCACAGACTGTAACAGTTTATTGTCCCCTTTACCACACTGCTGCCAAGCTCATAGTACATAGGTAATGTAATCGTTTACTAATTCATTACATGAGGTGTAGCTCATGCGAAGCGAAAGTAATGCACACATTGGGAAACCAACATGCCACAAAAGGTGAAATCTGTTACGTTACGTTACGTAGGCTCTGGCTCTACTCTTCACGTGCCACCTGTCAGAATGGAGGTAGCACGTGAAGAGTAGAGCCAGACTGTAGCTAATGACAGTTTCAATCTATCGGAGTGTCCCGAGAGTACAAGATGCCGCTTTGTCTCACATTCATCGACTTGAAGAAGGCCTTCGACTCTGTGGAGACAGAAGCGGTCATCGAAGCCTTGGGCAACCAGGGCGTCCCTACTCAGTACATCAAGATCCGTTCGTAAGCTATACAGCAACTTTACGACAATATTACAAGGAGTTTATTGCCGGTATGAAGAAACTAATTCGACAGGGTGATAGTACCCCGTATAAATTGTCCGAGGCCTTGAGAAGGTGCAACAACTGGAATGGGATGGCATGAGAGTGAAGGTTGGCGGCCGGCAACTACACCACCTTCGTTTTGCTGACGACATCGTTCTTATAACGCCGAACATCGAGCAAGCGGAGCGAATGGCTGATTTCGACTGCGCCTGTGGTAAGGTTGGTCTACAGCTGAACCTAACGAAGACGATGTTTATGAGAAACGGATTGGTTCCTGATGCCCCATTCACGCTCAACGGAACGAACATCACCGAATGCTCCAGCTACGTGTACCTAGGTCGGGAAATCAATATGATGAACGACCTAGCTCCAGAGCTGAGCAGGAGGAAACGAGCGGCATGGGAGCGTATGAAGAACATTGAGGGAGACATCCGGTTCCGTGGGTCACTTCTTCGATTCCGAATGTCCTTCCTGCCCTAACCTACGCCTCAGAGACTTGGACTCTGTGTGCGCAGGCAGGACGAGCATGCGGTCAGCGTTATCCAACGCGCTGTGGAGAGGAAGGTGCTTGGACCAGGATACAAGATAACTCACTAACTCTCCCTCGCCCACCTCGCTAAATGGTAGACCAGACAAGCTGACCATTAGTGTGAATTCCTCTATCAATGGTCGAAAATCAGGACTGTCGCTTTCGCCAAAGGATCGAAGATCAGGGAGGCCGCACACGCTGTGCGATTCTTGCGATGACCGTTGGACCAGAGCGGTTACCGACTGGATCCCTCGGGACGTCAAACGAACACCTGGACGACCGCCGGCCCGATGGTCAGACTTCTTCACGAAAGCTCTGAACGAAAGGAATGATGGACTTCGTGTCCCTCGAGCGAGGAGGATCCACTGGAC